CCTGATACGGTAGCGATGGAGGCAGGTGATTTGGAGAACTGGTAGCAAAAATCCCTGCCTCCCCCATTGCCCAGCTGAGCCGCGCAATCATCAGAGGCTTTTTTTTTTATTTTTAAAAGCATTTTTTCTACAACCTTTGGCCGAAAAAATACTTTTAAAAGTAAAAAAAAAAAGCCTCTGATGATCAGCTGGGATCATCAGAGCCCTTAAAAAAAAGAAAGAAAGCCTCTGCCGATCAGGCAAGTCAGCTGGGATCGTCAAAGGCTTTAAAAGCATTTTTTTTACAACCTCTTCAGCCGAAGAGGTTGTATAAAAAATGGTTTTAAAAGTAAAAAAAAAAAAAAGTTGGCCAGTCTTATTACACCCACCACCACCAAGCCACGCCCATAGAACCGGTAGTAACAAATTTTACATTTCACCACTGCATTGAAGGTATAATTTACTTTTATGTCCTTACATTTCATCATTTCAATCTCATCGCAATAATTATTAATTATAATTAAATTTTCAGCAACAGAGGCTGGTCATATTACTCAGTCATCCATGTGTTCATTTGCTCATTGATACCAGATGCAGATATGCTAATACAATACTGAGCTAGGCTTGATATAATATTGTGTTCATTTATTAATTACACAGCAATTTACATTAGAAAACAAAGTTAGTTATAAAAATAATTAGAGTAAAAAAGTATCTAAAGCAACAGAATATCTCCTATCCTTGTTAAGGTACTACTAAGTATGACAGAAAAAGTCAAATTGGATGCTCTTTTAAAGAGCCGTATTACTTTGCTTTTTTACTCAAAAGAGAAAAATGGGACAACAAGGATCAGAAATCAAACATGGAGTATAGGAATTTTATGTCTGCCTCCACTGCTGCACTCCCCTTTCAGATCATTCCTGCACATTTGAATTTGCACTGCCAGTGCAAAATATAATTGAATGGCTCCTGCCTGGCCTAGACTACAGTGTAGGACAAAGAGTTAAAACCTTCCTATTTCAAAATATGATCCTTGGGGAAATAATGGAAGCAAATGGATTGAGCCGTGGTGGTGCAGTGGTTAGAATGCAATATTGCAGGCTAATTCTGCTGACTGCCGATTGCCAGAAATTCAGCTGCTCGATTCTCACTGGCTCAAGGCTGACTCAGGCTTCCATCCTTCTGAGGTCAGTAAAACAAGGACCCGCATTGTTGGGGGCAATAGCTCTATGGATCTGCACATCTGCCAATGGGGCTGCTAATGTTTCCTAGGCCTGAATGGGCTTGTTAGCTACTAAAGGTGAAAACAAGGAGATTGTAAGAAGGGGAAGATATAGGCTATTTGCTAAGGAAATGTGTGTTTTCATGATTAACAACAAAAGCCTTCTCCACTGATGCTATATTGGGGATAAGAGTTACCTTGAGCTGAGATAATGGCAATTTTAATAATAATAATTAAAAAAAATGAGTGGAATGCAAGAAGTATTTTGAGCCCCCAAAAGATTATCTTCCTGATGTAGGAAAATTACGTAGTTGCATCAGAAATTGGCACTCCACCTAAAAGATGTTGTGATTAATTGTGTGGTGATATTAACTGAAGTATTTTACAGCTAATTTCACTAGAGCAATTAGGTGAGAGGAAAGATCCCTTCATATTGAACTCCGCTCCTGGTAAAAATAATGGATATATCGATACAGTTTGGTACAGTGGAGATGGTTGGGGATCATTTTCCTTTGGGATCTTCCCCCCCCGCCCCCGCCCCCCCCCAGCCTTATCTATAGCTCTGAGATTCCTTAGTGGTTCCCATCCAAGTATTAACCAGTCCTGAGCTTGCTTAACTTCTCGAGGCCAGCCAAGTGCAGCTAATTCTGCTTACTTAACAACCAGTAGGGGGCTCTCACTTCCCAGCAGTCACTTTATGGCCATCAAAATCAATGGTTATCTGGGTTGTAATTTGCTCACTGTTCCCTAATATACAAGAACTTCTCATTCTATACAGCAGCCTTACCGCAAAGCAACTGGACATTAATTAATCTGTTCAAGACTGTTTCTTGAAACTTCAGTTGTATTTTTCAGGTTGAATCAGATTTTATGCATGTCCTTTCCAACCTTCCTAACAGCATCTGTTTTAAGGCCCACAGCCGGTACATGTCTCCTGCATTATCCTAGGAATTTAAGTTAGCACTAGTAATAAGTAAAGAAAAGTTTTGTTCCACTGAGCTGTAAAAAAACACCTAAGGCATATGATATAACAAATGGCTTTCCATAACAACTGCATGTGAATCTTCTTTGTTCAATGTTTGCAAAAGAGCTGCACACAGGTTGTGATAGCTATAATATTATGTTCAGTCTTGAAATTCATATTGCAAGAACCCTGGGAGTGAAAACTCCTGACCTCACTTAACCCTGACCCTGGAGTAGTCTGATCTCCATTTGGTCATTGCCTGTCTAAAGAGACTGTCATCAAGGTGCCACTCAGGGCCTAATGGAATGTGTACCTCCAGCCAAGCACAACGACTGCCATTACTAATATAACATTTATATAAATAACATTCTTTTTCATTTTTCCAGATGACCCATCCCAATATACTAATTTAAAATGGTATAATAATTGTGTTACACTACCACATGTATTGACTGACCCATTAATGGAGATGAGAACTTAACTGCAAAAAAGGCACGCTTTTTCAGTGAACACTGAATGTTCACTTTGCTGCTTCATTAAAAAAAAACATATTGCAATTTTGCTTGTCAGATACTGAAAATGGCTGACAAGGACTAAGAATCTTTTCTGCTTAATTTTAAGAAATAATACAGCCACGCTGAAAGGCAGGAAGAATGCTTGGAGAAATATTATATTGTGTTACCTTGTCAATCATAATGAAGAATGCCTCAGTGCAATCCTAGCCATCTTCTGGCTGACTCCCTACAAAAAGCTAAGCAGGGTCAGATCTAATTAACACTTGGATGGGGGACCACCAGGAAATTCCATGATTGTATTATGATTATATCAAGTGGAAAATCAAAACAACTGTCCAGAAGAAAGCTACAACAAGCCAGTACTACTGTTTTCTTGGGAGAGTTGCTACCAAGAAAATGACACAGATATGTTTACTTTGTCACCTAGAGCGAAACTCAAGAAAATCTATTTCTGGGCTATTATTAAAGATTTTGGGGACCAACTTCATGAGTCATACATAGGGTTCATATGCAACAATATTATCAAATGTTGACATTCTTAATTATTTGACTTTGAAAGTAAATCTAATCTGCTTGTAATATTGGCGGCATTACATAGTGAATATGTTGTCGAAATGCTCTCTGTTTAACATCTCCTTGACACAACCCACCAAGTGCAAGGGATGCTTGCAAATCTAATTTTACCAGAGTGCCCACATATTCTTTATTAACACCAGAGGCCCTATGACTCCCTGACATTGATAAGAAATTGGCAAAAAGAAAGGATATGCTTGATAAGCTTCAAATAAAATACGTTTACTTTCTCTTGCAATTTTAATCCTTAAAACCTTCAAAAATATAGAGAAGGCTATAACTGCTGTGCTGCTTAAATCTACTGTTCAGAACTACTGAAAGAACTATTAATTTTGTTCACTGAGATGAAGGATGGAATATATTTAAATGAATGCAGTTGCTGTGTTCAGTCTTGTAATTTCGGTACTCTTAAAATTCAGAAAACATATTTGGCAACCTAGCAATCATATTTGTCTTTGAAAACGACAATAAATATGTCAACAAATGCAAGATTCCATGTACCTCAGTTAATCACTGCTTAGATAAGATAGAATAATCAGAAGGGTCTGAAATAAAAAAAATGAGTAATTCTGCCCTTACTTCCTGTCCAGACAAGTATTCATATGTATTCATATTTCCTTTAATTTGACACCTGTGTCAAGGCCTAGATGGATGTCGGCAACATATCTCCACTGGAATTGGCCCAACTACATCAGCTCCTTTTATACTGGGAGAAACAGCGGCTTGTCCCTCATTTTCAGGGGGTGAGGGTCAAATCCAGAATCATTAGTTTTGTGTAATCAAGCCTCTGTGATGGAGCAGCATGCTTACTAGCTTGTCAGCCCTTCAAGGTAAAGGTAGGCCAGGTCAAGGAACAGAAGGAACAGGGATTGCAGGAATGCTTTTTATTACTCTGGGGTAGAATAAACTAAAAGCTTGTTAGGGTTTCTCTTATCAAACACAATCAAGAGGGGATTATTTTGAGTTTCTTTCACACCTTTTTCGTTTTCTTAGGAATTAGTCTACATTGCTCCCTTAGAAGTTCATTGCTCCCTTCACAAAGCCAGTTGTACATTCTTCCTCACAGATATATGAGGATGATTAAGGCAAATTTTTGGTTTTAGATGCATGACTGTTGATTTATGGCATTTTGGTGAACAATACTTTTATCAGCATCCTTGAACAATACAATGCTGCCCCTGCATTTATCTGGTTGGATTTATTAGCAACTTCAATATACAGTAACTTCAGTTTCATTCTCCACACAAAATGCAATATTTATGCTAATTACATTTATTCTTAAGTAGATCTTATGAACTTCATGAGGTTTTACAGAATAACAGAGTTGGAAGGGACCTTGGAGGTCTTCTAGTCCAACCCCTGCTCAAGCAGGAGACCCTATATAATTTCAGACAAGTTGCTGTCCAATCTCTTCTTACAAACCTCCAATGATGGAGCACCCACAACTTTAGAGGCAAACCGTTTCACTGATCAATTGTTCTCACTCTCAGAAAATTTTCTTCTAGGTTGGATCTCTCTTTAATGATCTTCCACCCATTACTTTTTGTCCTACCCTCATGTCCTTTGGAGAATAGATCAGATTCCTCTTCTCCGTGACACCCAGTATTGGAAGCTAGACTACATACTTGGTTCCCTTTGCCATTCATCATATGGTTTAGACTCCCAACCCCTTATCATCTTTGTTGGCTCTTCTCTGCACTCCTTCTAGTTCCTCAGCATCTTTTTTGTATCATGGCAACCAGAACTGGACTCAACATTCCAAATGTGGCCTCTTTAGTACAGCACAGAGCAGTACTATCACTTCTCATGATCTTGATACTATCCCTATTGAACCCAGGATGCATTGGTTTTTTGGAAGCTGAAGCATAGTGCTGGCTCATACTTAAGTGATGGCCCACTAGGACACCTAAATCCCTCTTATGGTTACTACTATTAAGCCAGGTACCACCTATTCTATAGCTGTGCCTTTGACTTTTCTGCCTAGGTGCAGCACTTTACTGTCTCACTACTGAATTGCATTTTGTTGGATAGGGCCAATGCTAAAGTCTGTCAAAATTATTCTGAATCCTGAGTCTATTTTCTAAAGTCTGGGTAATTTTCCAGCTTGGTGTCATTTGCAAATTTGATGAGTTTCCCCTTCTATTCCCTCTAAATTATTTAGGAAGATATTGAAGAGTAATGGCCCTAACACAGAACTTTAAGGTAGCCCTCTGCATGCTTCCCTCCATGTAGATGATGGAACAATTCCATTGAGGGCTGCATGTTGAGTGAGGTTGGTCAACCAGTTGTGAATCCATCTGGATGCTGTCTATCCCACTTTTTCTATCTTCCCAAGAAGTAGGCTGTAGTCTACTTTTTCAAATGCCTTACTGGAGTCTAAGTAAACTATGTCCAGAGCATTTTCCCAATCCATTAATTTAGTCACTTTGTCAAAGAAGGCAATAAGGTTTGACTGGCCTGATCAGTTCTGACCGGTTGTGGTTAATCATTCCATTTTAATTCCCAATCAAGTATCCATTTTTACAACAGAAGCCAATTAATCTCTCCCAAAGGCCCTTATAAAACAATACTTTACTCTCATTTGGAGCACAAATTCTCAAAATCAAAATCAACAAATCTACCATAGGTCATCAAATCAAATCAAGTTTATTACAATCAAAGACCAGGGACACCATGGGTCATCAGTCAATACAAGTTCTGCTTTAAGTTGGGGGTTTATATATAAAACAATTTTCTTTTTTAGTTCGTGATAAAATGAATTCTTCACCCACATTTTTATAAATCAAATATTTTGCCTTTTTTCTAATATGAGTGTCTCGTAGGCAAATTATGTCTTAATTAACTTTTTCAAATAATGATTTTTTCTCTCTCTCTTTTAGGAGCAGTTATCTATGGAATCCAAAATGAGTTATGCAAAGGGAAAAAAATCCTTTGAGTTTACAAACAAACCAGGGAAACAGTTGGCATATAAATTAAGAAAAGAAAAAGAAAAGAAAATAATATTGAAAATACAAGATGGTGATATGGTATTAATAGATAACATGGCCATGGAAAAAAAGCATCTCATCAATATTATTCTATGAAGCAAGTGACATCTCTCTGGAGAAATAGATGAATACCTAAAGAGCAAAATTTACTGAGGATTACAGAGGATCAGAAACAGATTATGAATGGACCTATAACAATAAGGGAAGTTTCTGAAGCTATAAAAAAAAGATTAAAGCAGGAAAAATACCTGGATCAGATGGATTATCAGGTTCTTATTATAAATGTTTTGAGGATGAACTTTTACAATCTTTAAAATAAACTCCTTCAGGGAGGAAAGTTGTCAAAGAGCTGGAAAGAGGCAGATATCACCCTAATACCTAAATAGGAACAGGATTTGACTTTAACGAGAGACTACAAACTGATAACATAATTGAATAATGATTGTTCACAATGATTATTGCTGATAGACTGAAAATAATTTTGCAAGAATTTATTTGTGAGGATCAATATGAATTTTTTTTTAATTAAAAGGACAATGTTAGAATATTTGGATCAACATAATGAAAAACATGCCACAATGATTTTCTTAGATGCAGAGGAGGCCTTTGATAATTTGAATTGGGCTTTCCTGTTCAAAGTTTTGGAAGATATGAACTTTGGAGAGGATTTTACAAAATGGGGAAGATTTATTTACACTTCAAAGAAAGCACAAACGAAACTAATTTTCATTTCACAAAGCCTTGTGAAACAAAAATGAGGCAGGAATGTTCACTAGCTCCTCTCTTTTTATGTTGGTTCTTAAAATACTGAACATAGGGATAGGACATGAGATAATTGTGGGAATAAAGATTAAAAAAAGAAACTTATAAGTTAACATATTTGTAAATTAATCTTATAAATTAAGCAAGTGACTTGAGTTGTTTCTGGAAAATCATTTAAAGGGAATTGAAACACTAATGGGAAAACTAAACTAATTTGTGATTAGCAGGTTTTAGATGAACAAACATAAGGTAATGTTAACAAAAACATGAAAGTACTAGTTCAAACAAAACTGAGGAATACAATGAATGTTAAGATTGAGAAGAAAGTAAAATATCTGGGTATCACTATGACAAATATGAATTGCATGTTATTTCAAAATGTGAAGACATGGAGTGAAGTTAAAAAGATATGTTAAGATGGCAGAAATTACAATAGTTGCTGGGGAGAATTTCTGATAAAAATAAATATCCTTTCTACAATAGTGTTTTTGTTCCACATAATATCAATGTTGATAAGTGATGCAACACTTAAAAATGGCAGAAAGAAATATCTAAATTTGTGTGGTAGGGGGAAAAAACCCATAAGTTAAATATAAGGTGCTACAGGACGCAATGGAAAAGGGAGGACTGGGTTTACACAATTTGAAATTATATTTTGCAGCTTGTTATTTGGTTTGGATGAAAAAATGGGCACAGTTGAGAAACAGAAGGGTTTTTTTTGCGTTAGAAGACCATGGTCTGAATTTTGGATAGTATGGGTATTTGTAGTATGACAAAATCAAGGTTAATGTGCATTTTAAAATGATAATGTAATGTGCCCATATCAAGAATACAGAATAGATAGATATGTAGGTTGTGCTCAATGACACCTCTGGGGCTCTCAGCACAAGAAGCATTTTACAGACAAGAAATAATAGCAAATACAAATGGCTAATTTATTGTGAGATACTAGAATTTGTCAAAGGGAATACAAAATAAAATCAAAGAGAAGAACTGATGGCAAAGGAGATAGTTGCTAATAGTTTTCTTATTTACGGTTATTATAAAGCTTTAAAGTAGAGAAAAAATATGGTTTTGAACATAATAAGATTGAGTCTGTAATGGAATTAGGTATAAAGAATTAACATGTAATTGTTAAAAATTACATTTAACATGCAATTTTACCAATTATTAATTAAAATTTGAAATAGAAGATAAAATGAAAGACTATATGATAAATTAGGCTAAATTTTTGATTATAAAATGCAGCTGGAACAATGGGACTATATGTGGATTGAAATTGATGTTTATAACCTTGAAGAGAATTTTTACAAAATGATTGTTCATGAAAGAGTCCATATATATTTAACAAACTTGTTTTATCCAAATCCAATAAACCCTATCTTGTATCTGTAAATAGCTTATTGAATCAGTATCTTATTTGTTCTAAATTGTAAACAGAAGCTTCTGATTTCCTCCCATTGAGTGCAAAAGAGGAACAATGGGAGCCCAAGTATGATACACTCCTTTAACATCAAACCACAGTAATTACAGTATCATTAAACCATACTAGCATCTGGCTTTGTTCTAGACAGTTAAGGACCAAATATTTTAGTACTGTTTGTAAAAAAAATGATTAAATAATTCATGTTAATCAATTTTGTCTCAGATCATAACTGTTTGCTTCTGCACTTTTTATTCATAGGAAAGAAAAATTCAACCAATGCAGCATTAGGAAATGTGGTGCATAACTTGTTAGCTTTGTTTGGGAATAAAGGCTGAACATGGACACTGGTGTATCTATTGCTGAGATGTTCAGAAATTAGAGTGACTTTGTCAAGGTTACTGAAATAAAGAGTTTCTGTGTGGTTCTGTTATTACCTTGGATTTCTGTCATTCGGTATAATAAAAATACCAAATAGATGTAGAAGGCTATTACTATTTATTAAAATTATCAGCTAATAAAATTAATAGTTACAGTCCAATATGAAGTCCTAGCTAATGTGGAGCAGATTTACTGTTTGTTCATAGCTACCATTTTCTTGAACCCTTTTATTTCATCAGAAATTTATAGTGATAAGGACATGCCTCGATGGCTCCATTTAGTATGCCAGATGTGTCTTATCCCCTTTGGAGCTTCTGGAAGCACTGCCAAAAAATGCAAAATGCAGCAAATAGGTTGCTAACCAGTTAACTGATATCATCATCTCACACCATATACCAGAATTTTTATGGTTGTCAAATGATTCCATATGAATTTTAAAATGCTAGTTTTAACCCTTTAAAACTCAAGCTTTAGGATACGGTTATTTCAGGGTTTGCCTAACTTGTTACTAACTTTCAAACTTATATCAAAACTGTTAAGAGAAATTTTTGGAAGAATAAAAATCCTCATTCTCAGTTATTGAGCATGATAGAATTAGGGTCAATTCAGCACACATTTCCCATGCCATTCAGTACTTAGGCAAAAGTAATTAAAATGTATTATGGCAATTCTACATCTATATATCTTCTCCCAATTAGCCCTATTGTACAAAATCCCAAAGAGTCAACTGTCACGCAGTGACTGAACCAATGCCCATTCAGTCCTCCAATAAGACAGTGGCATAATACATGACCTCTATTATGAAGCTCACTGTCCAGACCTGAATCTGCTTCCTGAATGCAAATGGGCTGCAGCACCCAAAATATTCTATCGTCAGGCCAGCTGATGGAAAAGGAGATATTGATCTCCTTTCCAGCAGGGTTTCTCATTGCTGGCTGGGGAATTCTGGGAGTTGAAGTCAACACATCTTAAATATGCCAAGGTAGAGAAATGTTAATCTAATAAAATCTTGCAGGTGCTTTCCTAATATAGGTTTCATGCAGTACCAGGATCAGATAAGTTGAATATTGACTTATTCAATAACTATGCGCCACCATACTCAAAGAGTTTGAGTGCAGCCCATTCAAAATGGTTCTCAAACTTTATAATGTCAAAAGTGGAAAATGATTAAATACTTGACTGGAGAGTAATCAAATTAATTATATTTAATGTTCAATCAATATAAATGTGAATGAATTTAAATCCAGCTTTCCCACTTGTCTGACCAACTATTTTTGAAAGATCAATGCACTTTACAGTGAAATGTGTTTCTTACCCTGCTAAAGTTGATGAAGCCAGCAACATTCAATAGTGTTTAAATGTGTTAAAAGGGCTTTTATTGTTTTTCAGTATCGTTACTTTTTATGTATGGTCCATTATCTTTGTAAAATTAATCATAATTATTAAAATAACAAATACAGAATACAGCACTGAAACATCCAAGCCAATCATTCAATCAACACCTAAGGCACAACTAGTATACTCTGAGAAACTTGATCTAATGCTTGGAAGCTGAATAAGAAAAAAACCTGAAGTTGAATCTCAACAAAATGGAGTGACAGTTTGTCCAAAGTGGATTTTCTGCCTGCTCTGATGATAACTTTGGATGAAGTGGCAGTTCCCCCTCAAAGAGCAGGTCTACGTTTTGAGTACCCTTTTAGATTTATAATTCCTTCAGGATGTGCAGATAAGAGTTTATGACCAGTGGAGCCTTTGCCCAGTTTCAGCAGTTGACAATGCTAACTTACATCTTCATCACCTTCTGTTTAAACTAACATAATAAATTCTACATGGAGCTATATTTGAAGGCTCCTCTGAAATTGCAGCTGATGCAAAATGCACTTGTTGTGTGACAATAGAGAAGAGGGGATATAGCCATACAATATCTATACTGTGGATCCTGCATTGGCTTCCAGTAGGTTTTTAGCTGAAGTTCAAAATGTATGTTTTAACCTTAAAAAGCCAGTATGAGTTGGCTTCTTGGTCCTTGCCTTTTCCAGGTGAAATCAAAATATTGAGTATATTGATTCTGGGATGTCACCAACATCCCAGATATAAGATGGGTGAGAGCCCAAAGATAGGTGTTTCTCTATGAAACAGCTTCCCCAGGACTGATATCAGATAGTACCAATTAACTTCACATTCAGCTATTCAGTAGAGATTTTGAAAGTAAATGTCAGTGAATATTAGGTGGGCACTGATACTTATTACAATTGGTATTATTTTCTAAGATCGTTTTTTCCCTACATTGAACTTTATTTTTGCTTGTAATAATACTATAAACCACTATAATACACAGTGTTTAACAGTATACAAATGCAACTAATTAATTAGTTAATAATCACTGGAACAGAGTTCTATGTTAGACTATCCAATGGAACTGAAAAAAGCTGTATCCCAAAATTGTCTAAGACATCATCAAGGACCTGTGAGGAAAAACAAACAGAGGGAAGGGAAGAAAATACTCACACGTGCTACCTTCAGCTAATTACAAAATATATTTATTAATATAGTCTATTATTAAGAGAATATCAATATGGGTCTGTTCATATTCATATACTATCAATTGTATGTTTACTTTTATTTTGCATTCTAAGAGAAAACAGCCATCGTTCATATGTGAGCTTTCAATAGATGTTTTAAAACATTTCATTCTGTGTATATTCTGGGTTCCCTCTACCATTTAATCCTCCAATTAAGGTTACAATTTCTTTGCATAGACAGGCAAAACACACAACAGTGGGAATAGCTGGCTACTGAGAAGTCATGTACAAAAATAATGCCTCTAATCAAACCATTACAATTAAAAAAAAAGATTAAGCATTTTTGCTACTTTAATCATAGACGTTGATTATGAATGTGTTTGATTAGTTCATTTTAGCACACACTTATATCCACACTATTCTTATTTTTATGTTATGCTGGAACTATTATTTTATCTTGATTGATGCGATAGAAAATATGCATCTGTTCAAAGGTATTCATGTTAATTATAGTGTAAAATGGTTATTGCTATTTTATAGTGATAAAATGCTGCATTAAGGCTTGTTTGCCCTGCTACCACTTATATACATATACAGGAATTCTGCCTATTGCATAAAGTATGTTATACCTTACATTTTTATTGTATGATGTGTCATATCCACAGAGGAGAAAGCTTACATAGGCCTGGCTTTTATGTGACTTCCTAACACTTTGTCTTAATCACAGAACAGATCTATAGGCTGTTCAGAAAACAAGGTTGACTAAGAACTGTTAGTTTAGCCCCAAGTAGTCGCATGGCTATTTCGAGCTAAACCTAATTCTCATACGGAAAATTGATTTGGTCAGTTGACTCGGTTTTCCTATTTGCACTTAATCCCCTCATATGACTGAACCAACCATGTTCCATAAAAAAGATATTTGTATTTCTTTCCTTCATATGACCTCATTAAATGCTCGGAGAAGGCAGCTTTTAGATAATAGAAAATAAGAAAAGAAAAATGCATTTTCATTAAAAAAAGCTAAAAATCTTTAAGAGCAAACCAGGATTAACCTAGTAAATAGCATAGAAATCATAAACCAACTGTATTGATATTATATGGATTTGTTGTTTTACCAGGTTTATATCTTTATGGATGCAATTTGTATTGTGCTTTTCCATTCATAAAACACTGATAGAAGCTAAAAATGTCACTATGTGTGTGTGTGTGTGTGTGTGTGTGTGTGTGTGTGAGGCTCTCTCCGTGTGTACACAGTATATACAAACACACATTTATACATTTAAGTTAGAAACAATATTATATACAGTATATCAAAAGTTTGTCTATTAAAATAATAAAGCAACCAGATTTTTAAATAATAGAGGTCTTTGTGTCATGTACTCAATTAACACTTTGCTTGAAAAGGAGACATATTGCAAAAACCTCTTTCTAGGGCAGATCATAATGTTCAGAGAGGTATGTCACAGCAGAAACAATCCTTCAGATAGGCCATGAACCACTTACAATTTTAAAAATTAACATCAACACCTTAAATTATGCCTAGAAAGAAATTAGCAACCGGAGTGGATTTCTGAAATGGCAATTTTGGGCACTAATTAGCAACCTAGCTGTCACATTTTCCATCAGTTGAAGCTTCTGGATATTTTTCAACTAAAGGATGTTGCAAGTCAAGCCATGTTGCAACCATAGCATGGATAATACACCCACACCCACAGATATAATCTAATAATCTATTTTATTACTATGCAGATTTTTGAGGAGTGTTCGTTTTGATCAATATCTATGGATTTATTAATTCAAATAAAATGGCTACAGCAGAATCATCACATTGAAAGCTAATTTCCATAGGAAAGGAAGAAAGCAATAGGAACTTAACAGATAACACCAACTAAAACAAAGAGATATAGAAGAAATTCTGCACTGCTGGAACTTTCCAGGCCTTTGCAAATGAATCAGTGTCTGGATGTTTGGAGAGAAAAAAACAGACCTTACAAAATGAGAAACATGTTTCTATACCCTTGAGTAACCTATAGTAGTGTTTTTATTTATATTGACCATCTGGAGTACATA